AGAGAGAGTGAGAGAGAGAGAGAAAGAGAAAGAGAAAGAGTGAGTGAGAGAGTGAGTGAGTGAGTGAGTGAGTGAGCGAGAGAGAGAGAGAGAGAGAGAGAGAGAGAGTGTGTGTGTGTGTGTGAGTGAGTGAGTGAGTGAGTGAGTGAGTGAGTGAGTGAGTGAGTGAGTGAGTGAGTGAGCGAGTGAGCGAGTGAGCGAGTGAGTGAGTGAGTGAGAGAGAGAGAGAGAGAGAGAGTGTGTGTGAGTGTGTGTGTGTGTTTCTGCAGTGTTTAAACCCCAAACATGTCATGATTCATGAAGCATGTCTTGAAAATGGCTCGTACCTTTGCTTTGTCGTCCAGGATTTGCTGTCGAATATCTTTATGTTTTTCCAGCAATCTCTCCAGTCGTTTGTCCTGAGCTTCTTCCAGCTGGAAAACACACAAACATGCACACGCTCACAGATGTGTTCCAGTACACGCAATCTACACGTGACAGCAGAGCGATGAACATGTCACAACAATACTGCCACATAAGATGTTCCTGGAACATAGAAACACAGAACCAACCCTCAAATAACTAATAACTAACCCTCAAACAGCAGCATCTGACTGGCTGATAGAAATCTTCACGCAGCACAGACGCTGATCCAGCGGTTTCTCCCAGACACACAGACCTCAGCACAATACCCACATTATCTATCACACAGAAGCAGCAAAATACCCTAACAATAAAATAGTAAGCAGGATCACAGTCGTGCCGTTGTTCTGAATAAAATCACAGCTGTGATTGGCTGCAGTTGATCACATGACTGATGTTCTGACTGTGAATGCCATATTGATTAAATACAGCTGCTCATGAACTACAAATGAGTTTACAGTTTAATGCTCAATTCACACACAATCTTCCACTCTGTCCATGAAAAAACTCAATAAGACACACGACTTCTTTGCTTCATAAAGACCTCTAACACTAGCTTGCTATTCTTTTTCTATTCTATCTGTTTTCTTCTTATTTATTATATAATAAACACAAACCTTGCTATGTGTACTGCGTTAGGCTAACTGAGACTTGCACTGCAAAAAAATCAAGTCAAAATTAAGTGAGTTTATGCTTAGAACAAGCAAAATAAAATGGATTAAGGAAAAATCTTATTTCAAAGAGAAAACAATATTATTTTGCTTGTTTCAAGAAAACAATTTTTTTCTGAAAACAAGAATAATTTTTACTTTACATTTCTGATTTAATAATTTTTTAGAAAAAATCTAAGAAAAGCATTTTTTGCAGTGTGTTATAGCACTTGCATATCGTTGCTCTTCAGTTGATTTTGATTGCTTCTATTGTCCTCATGTGTAAGCTGCTGAATGAATAAATGTAAATGTATAAAGACGGTCATTTGTCGACACCTGCAGGTGTAACAATGTAACTGCAGCATCAGCCACAGCGCAATATACATTCAATGAACTAAAATAATCTTCATCCTGGCAGCCTACTATTCACAGCACAAAACAGTGTTCAGGACAAACCATGCTTTCTTTTCCCTTTTAAATGTTGCTCTCTATTAACTGGTCTATTTTGCATGATTATATGATATGTTGAATTATATTATTTGCATTTAGCCTGTTTTTTCTCTTCTGTACACGACCTGATCAGAAGAGTTGAGGAAAAATACGAGTCCACTTCAAAATTAGAGGTGAAGCATTCTTTCATTTTGTCAGAATATACAACTACTTTTGATTGTCGGTCAAACGAGAAAGACACAGACTGTGATTACAGCAGTTACCAGCAGGGGTTAACTAGTCCATGGTAACCAGTCTCCACTCACCCGTTTGATGGACTGCACCACCTCGTTCACGTGTGATCTGTTCATCTCCATCTTTTTCCTACAAAACAGGATGATTTTAGCTTCAAGCATAAGCTTTATCAGACTGGCCACTAGCAGTCGTAGCACCAAAGATGATCGTGTGTTTGGATCAACATCAGCTTTTTTGCTGATCAACAAACAGTCCACTCCAAACCCAACCTCTGCTCATCAAGCAGCTCTAAGACGGTGGGCTGCTGAGAATGATGCTCAGTCCCTAAACTCTGACTGTTGATCCGTGAACACGTGATCTGAAGATCCTCACAAAGAGTTAAAATCACTCACTCCTCAGTCAGAGTCTTCTCCAGCGTTCGGGCTTCTTGAAACTTCTCTTGTCGTCTCTTGTCCATCCTTTTCTTCAAGTCTTTGTTTTCTCTGAAAAAAGGAAACCATGGGATATTTTGAGGGACAGTGGTGTCCAAACAACACAACGACTTTGATTAAATGGAGACAAAGACATTTTTCAAAAGAAAGTCACAGGTTTGAAGGACATGCGGAGAGTAAATGATGATTTGTGGCTGAACGATCACTTTAATATCTTACTTCTCACACAGATCCTTCAGTTTCTTCAGCTGGTTATTCTGACACTCTTCTGCCACAGTCGTCAACTTCTCAACAAGCTACACCGCAAAAGAAAGCCAACATGCATGTAAGCGAACATGTCACACCGCTGATGTACAGCACACGCTAACGAGACAGGAAACGCAATCTGATTGGCCGACTTCTCAAAATCCAATCAGCAGCTGATGGATTCAGTTGCTTTGACAATCTGTATTGTTACAAGTGTTAAATAAAGGTGACTTGTTAATAGTGTCCATCGTCTGTTTGATTACGTCTTTAATTGATTTTTATGTACATTTCTGACATATGTACATAAACTTACAGTCACCACTGATAAGCTACCACTAAATATTGTAGAAACTTAATTTGCTGTAAAGTTGCTTTGCAACGATTTATATGGTGAAAAGCGCTGTACAAATAAACTTGAATTGAATGGACAGAACCAAGCCCCACCCTCTGTTTGTTGTGTATGAACGTTTGGAGGCTCAGATGTGCGTTTAACACATCAGAAGAGACAAGAGACTGATGCAGCAGGAGAAAACAGCCAGCAGTTCACAGAAACACACACACACACACACTCTCTCACACACACTCTCACTCTCACTTTCACACACTCTCACTCTCACACTCACACTCACACTCACACTCACTCTCACGCACGCACACACACTCTCACTCTCACACTCACACTCACACTCACACACTCACTCTCACACACGCACTCTCACACTCGCACTCGCTCTCGCTCGCTCACACTCACACTCACACTCACACTCACACTCACAACACACACACTCTCTCACACACACACACACACACACACACACAGGCTGAGTAAAGCACCAATCAGAGGCCACCTTTTTATGATGTCATCACGTAGACTTCCTACAAAGTACTTTACAGTATTTTAAAACTACAAAACACTAAAGTATTTTGATACAAAATGTGAAGCCATTTTCATCAACCGTATCAAATACAAATGACAAAATCCTTTTTTATATTTAAAATACATGTCTAATAAACACTGCCCATCGCTGAGCTGTTACAAATCAAATGAAATCACTACAATCTTCATCTGTGTGCTGCAGAAGTTTCATCTGAATTGGTACAAATATTGTTGACATTAATGTTTTAAAAAATAAATTTTTGAATATATAAATATATAACTCTAATTCCAGAGAAGTTGGGACGTTTTGTAAAATGCAATAGAATCAATAATCTGTGATTTGTTCATTCTCTTTAACTTTTATTTAATTGACAAAAGTACAAAGAAAAGATTTCCAAAGTGTTCACTGACCAGCGTAAATGTGTTTTGTAAATATGAACAAAATTAGAGTTTGACGGCTGCAACACACTCCAAGAGAGTTAACACTGTGTCACATCAACCTTGCTTTTAATTACAATGTTTCATTGTTTGGGAATTGAGGATACTAATTGTTAAAGTTAATAATTTACAAACTAGAAAAACACTTCACAGTTTAAAAAACTGCCTTTAACATATTTGACAACTCAATAGTATTTCTTATGTAAGGAAAAAAATAATAAACAAAATAATTTATTTATGGTTAATTAATGCAAATGAAAAAAAATAATAATTTGCTTTGGATATGAACATTAAATATACACATTAGAAATGAGAACTTTCCTTTAACAAAGAAATATCTAGATTGCATTTATAATGCATCAAGTTTGACATCATAAAGCACATACGCATTATGATTTTAATTCCTGCTTAATTCTCTTTTCTTCAACCAGTGCATCAACATCAGCAACCAGTCTTTGAGCCGTTGCCACTCTCATAAAGTCATTTAGATGTTGGACTCGTTAATGTTCATTACAGAAAATGCCTGCTCACAGAGATATGTAGTCCCGAACATGCTGAGGATCATTTTGGGGAATGTCAGTCCGAGGTTTTGGTAAAATAAATCCACAGTGACTGATGCGAATTTATCTTTCAAAGGTGTGTTGCGCTGCAGTTTGATTAGCTCCATTTGGAGTTCCTCCGGTATATCTGTTGCGCTCGCGGTAAACGGTGACCGGAAGACAGAGGATTCCTTCTCAAGTTCATTGAAGACCTGGAAGTGATTCTGAAACTCATTCTGCAGACCAACTATTTTTTCTTTGTATCTGTCTATGTTGTCTTTGTCGTGAGCGGTGAGCACAGATTTGAGGAAAATGAGCTGGGTTACCTTTGGAAAGCTGCGTCGCCCACAGATCTAGTTTCATCTCAAATGCGCAAATGCAGTCGTAATATTCAGTTACGACTTTGTTGTGGCCTTGCATCTTAGTATTGAGCACATTTAAGTGCTCGGTTACGTCCACCATAAAAGCAAGATCACGAACCCACTCGGGGTCATCCAGCTCAGTCACCGGCTTTCCCTTGTCTTTCATCAACTGACTGATTTCTGAGCGCCGTTCAGAGAAGCGTTTGAGCACGGCTCCCCTGCTCAACCAGCGGACTTCGGTGTGGTAGGGTAGACTGTGAGGAATATCTTTTTCAGATAAAAAGGCCTCAAATTGCCGACGGTTGAGCCCCTTTGCTCTGATGAAATTAAGTTTTTATTACCACATTCATAATATTGTCCATCTTTAGGGTTTTGCTACACAATGCTTCCTGGTGTAAAATACAATGAAAATTCCAGAATCTTTGGGTTGTGTTCTCTTTTTGAATTTCTCAATTTCTCTTTTTGTCACAACGCCTGCCCTTTTCCCGACCATGGATGGAGCGCCATCCATTGCCACACTAACAGCGCGACTCCAGTCAACCTCCAGTCTATCCAGAGCACCACTGCGGCTGGAGTAAATGTCGTTGGAACCAGCTCAACAAATTCTTCAGTGATGTTCAAAGATTCATCAACTCAACGAATAAATAACCCCAGCGGAGCTACGTCGTTAATATCAGTACTCACATCGAGTGCTATAGAGAAAGAATAGCACAAGCTCCGCTGCCTTCATCATACACTTTTTGATGAATTCTCCCTCTGAAAAAGGCTTTGATGCCGCTGCGATTTCATTGGAAATCAAATAGCTGGCCTTTACAGCTTCATCAGTCCCTGCTCTTTTTGTGAACATTGATTGCTTTTTTTTCAAAGCTGATGCTAAATCATTAGCTTTTTCCGTTCTGAGCTGTCCAGTGTATTTATCATATTTCTCTGCGTAATCTTTCATAGTGCTGTTTAATGTTGTACTCTTTTTGCACAGCCACGGCTTGTGAGCAAATTAAACATACCGGCCTGCCGTTGACCTCACAGAAGAAATACTTCTCTTTCCATTTCTCCTGAAACATTCGCCCTTCCAGATCAATTTTTCTTTTTTTGGACATTTTTTAAATCGCGAGTGCTTGCCACACAACTTCAATAAGCCGAAGTGTTCGAAATTTTAATTAGGCGCCGCTTTAGAATGCGCAATTAAATGATCAAAGATAAAATTAAAAAAAAATTTATAAAACCAAACACAATATTGCAGCGAATATCCGGACAAAGACTTTATTTAGTAATAATAATGATAATAAAAAGATTTAATATTTAATATTATTGCTCAAATCGTCCCGCCGGATGTTTGACACCCCTGTCCTCGAGTAACAGATTCAAGTTGGATTTCTTGATGCAGCAGCAGACTGTGGTTTTCAGAAGTACTCCTGAGCCCATGCAGCTATATTTAACACTGCAGCATGACGGTTTCTAATGCAATGCCATCTGAGGGGTCAAAGGTCAAGCACATTCACCCGAGGTTTCCTGCCTTGCCCTACACAGACTGAGATTTCTCTGGATTCCCTGAATCTTTTCACAATATTATGTATGGTACTTGATGAAAGACCTAAATTCTTTGCAATTTTGCATTGCGAAATGTGATTTTTGATTTGTTTGACACGTCTCTCGTGAAACTTGGCACAAAGGGATGAGCCATGATCCAGCTTCGCGTACAAAGACTGAGATGCTCCTTTTATACCCAAACATGATACCTTAACCTATTACCAATTCACCTGCTTACTGTGAGCGGTTTCAAAACGAACCAGCTCAACAAATTCTTCAGTGATGTTCAAAGATTCATCAACTCAACGAATAAATAACCCCAGCGGAGCTACGTCGTTAATATCAGTACTCACATCGAGTGCTATAGAGAAAGAATAGCACAAGCTCCGCTGCCTTCATCATACACTTTTTGATGAATTCTCCCTCTGAAAAAGGCTTTGATGCCGCTGCGATTTCATTGGAAATCAAATAGCTGGCCTTTACAGCTTCATCAGTCCCTGCTCTTTTTGTGAACATTGATTGCTTTTTTTTCAAAGCTGATGCTAAATCATTAGCTTTTTCCGTTCTGAGCTGTCCAGTGTATTTATCATATTTCTCTGCGTAATCTTTCATAGTGCTGTTTAATGTTGTACTCTTTTTGCACAGCCACGGCTTGTGAGCAAATTAAACATACCGGCCTGCCGTTGACCTCACAGAAGAAATACTTCTCTTTCCATTTCTCCTGAAACATTCGCCCTTCCAGATCAATTTTTCTTTTTTTGGACATTTTTTAAATCGCGAGTGCTTGCCACACAACTTCAATAAGCCGAAGTGTTCGAAATTTTAATTAGGCGCCGCTTTAGAATGCGCAATTAAATGATCAAAGATAAAATTAAAAAAAAATTTATAAAACCAAACACAATATTGCAGCGAATATCCGGACAAAGACTTTATTTAGTAATAATAATGATAATAAAAAGATTTAATATTTAATATTATTGCTCAAATCGTCCCGCCGGATGTTTGACACCCCTGTCCTCGAGTAACAGATTCAAGTTGGATTTCTTGATGCAGCAGCAGACTGTGGTTTTCAGAAGTACTCCTGAGCCCATGCAGCTATATTTAACACTGCAGCATGACGGTTTCTAATGCAATGCCATCTGAGGGGTCAAAGGTCAAGCACATTCACCCGAGGTTTCCTGCCTTGCCCTACACAGACTGAGATTTCTCTGGATTCCCTGAATCTTTTCACAATATTATGTATGGTACTTGATGAAAGACCTAAATTCTTTGCAATTTTGCATTGCGAAATGTGATTTTTGATTTGTTTGACACGTCTCTCGTGAAACTTGGCACAAAGGGATGAGCCATGATCCAGCTTCGCGTACAAAGACTGAGATGCTCCTTTTATACCCAAACATGATACCTTAACCTATTACCAATTCACCTGCTTACTGTGAGCGGTTTCAAAACAGTTTAACATGGATATTCTATAACCTTTTCACTTTTATTTTGCCTATGTCCCAACTAAAAGTGTTGCAGCCGTCAAAAACAAAATGTGTTCATATTTACAAAACACATTTACGTTGGTCAGTGAAAACTTTGGAAATCTTTTATTTGTACTTTTTGTCAAATAAATAAAAGTTAAAGAGAATGAACAAATCACAGATTATTGATTTTATTGCATTTTACTAAACGTCCCAACGTCTCTGGAATTGGGGTTGTAATTTAAAAAAAGATACTTTTAAATATGCAAACTAAAACTGCAGCAGGCTCGGTGGTGAGTGCGTCATGGAAGCATTTATTCAAACGATTCATTCAAAGCAGAAATAGGAATCTGAAATGTAATTCACTTAATATTAACTTTTTGTCTGCTGAATGTCTGCATAAAATCGATATCATGTTTGCGGTCTCGCTCATGTTCGTGAAAATAGTTTTCTTGCTCTTGTGATATTGGATCTCATACAAATATTTTTCGCAATTATATCTTGAATTTTTTGGGCATTTGTATTCATTTTAGGGAAATATTTTGACACAATTCCCCATTATATTCTGACCTGACAACAGTTTCAAAAGAAATCCAATTAGAAGTAAGTTATTGAGTGCATTTGAAGCAGGAAGTTTTACATTCAATCACAGTAATGATGGTAACAAATAAGTCACACAATGGACCAGTGATTTAGTGATATCCTCGCAGCTGTGGTCTTGTCTGAGTCCTCTTAGTCCAGAGACAAGACCGAGACCTTCAAAAAAGTCTCAAGACCAGTCTCTAGCTACTACACTATAATTTAGTGACAAAACGTTGGAAAAGTGTTGGCAAATAATCAGTTAGGATCTGTACAGGTTGATGATAATTTGATAGTGGTTATGGGAGTAATCTGAGGTGTGATGACAGCGAGCGTTACCAGTTTGACGTGCTCTCGTTTGAGGTACTTCTCGCTGTAGAACTGCTCCTGTCTGAGCGTGAGGAGCTGCCGCTGCTGCTGCTCCTTCAGTTTCTCACACCTCTCCTGCTCCAGCAGATCCTGATCCTGATCCTGATCCGACACGATCCTGCGGGAACACAAACCATCAGACGACGGGAAGCGAGCGGACGGCAGAGCCGGTCTCAGAGAAACTCACCTCTTCTGCACAGACCTGCGCAGCTGCTTCTGTCTGGACGCGTGTTCGTTGATCAGCTCGTTCGTTTTCTTGTTGTGTTTCCTCATGAGCTCCTTTAGTTCTTTGTACTGCCTCTTCTGCTCCCTCAAATAACCCTTCATCTGTTTCAGTTCATCTACAGTCTGAGCGTCCACCTCTGTCACACACGCACACACACACACACACTTAAACAGCCTAACTTAGTAGCCTATAACAAACGTATTTCTTCAATTTATTTATGGAAAACAGCGATACTGCCTCATATGATTATTGAACGATTTAATGTAAATGAGCACAGATGAGAAGAAAGGAGCGAGTGAAGGAGACGCACTGAATGAAAACACACATTCAGGACTAGAGGCAGAAATGCAGCCGTTACCCCGGTAACCCTGTAAACAAGGCAGCTGCCGTTACCCCGGTAACCCTGTAAACAAAGCAGCTGCCGTTACCCCGGTAACCCTGTAAACAAAGCAGCTGCCGTTACCCCGGTAACCCTGTAAACAAAGCAGCTGCCATTACCGCGGTAACCCTGTAAACAAAGCAGCTGCCGGTAACCCTGTAGACAAAGCAGCTGCCATTACCCCGGTAACCCTGTAAACAAAGCAGCTGCCGGTAACCCTGTAAACAAAGCAGCTGCCGGTAACCCTGTAAACAAGGCAGCTGCCGTTACCCCAGTAACCCTGTAAACAAAGCAGCTGCCGGTAACCCTGTAAACAAGGCAGCTGCCGTTACCCCAGTAACCCTGTAAACAAAGCAGCTGCCGGTAACCCTGTAAACAAGGCAGCTGCCGTTACCCCAGTAACCCTGTAAACAAAGCAGCTGCCGGTAACCCTGTAAACAAGGCAGCTGCCGTTACCCCAGTAACCCTGTAAACAAAGCAGCTGCCTTTACCCCGGTAACCCTGTAAACAAGGCAGCTGCCGTTACCCCAGTAACCCTGTAAACAAAGCAGCTGCCGGTAACCCTGTAAACAAGGCAGCTGCCGTAACCCCGGTAACCCTGTAAACAAAGCAGTTGCCGTTACCCCGGTAACCCTGTAAACACAGCAGCTGCCGTAACCCCGGTAACCCTGTAAACAAAGCAGCTGCCGTTACCCCGGTAACCCTGTAAACAAAGCAGTTGCGCTACTTTCTGAACTGTGTGTCAATGTTTCAGTCATTTAGAGATTTATATTCACTTTAGTCTTCACCATAGCACCAAATAATTAATACTCAAAGACTTAACGAGCTGTTTATTTTCAAACTTAAACATTTTTTCTTGTAATCTAACCTAAAACATGGCCTATCTATATATAGACTGATTCGTTATTGTTCGGTAACACTTCACAGGTTCCATTAACATTAGTTAATTACATTAGTTAACATGAAATAACAAAGACTGCGTTTATTAATCTTAGTTCATGTTAATTTCGACTTTTACTAACACATTATAAAATCTAAAGTTGTGTCTGCTAATATTATTCAATGGCGCTAACATTAACTAACAATACATAGTTGTATTTTTATTAATCAACATTAACAACTGCAACAATTAGCTATTGCACATCGTTAGTTAACGTTAACCTGCTTTAACTAATGCGACCTTATTGTAAAGAGTTACCTATTGTTCTTTTGCACTCTACTCTCCAAACATATTTGTGTATTTCTTTTAATAAAGTCTTTTAGTAAAATATCTTTAATAAAGTTATTTAACCTGTTAGGAGGACAACACTTTTTATACTTACTAAATTACACGCTATTGTGATAAAACCATATACCGTGACGAAATCCTCAACGACTACTGTGAAGATTTGATACTGTCACAAACCTAATGTACATACAATTTAATAGTACTATAAATAATTACATAATTAGCCTATTAAATAGAGTCTAGAGCAAGATTATTTAAAAACCTTGTGTGCTTTCTGTATTCTGATCAATTAATTATATCCCCTAATTAAGATAAAACACATAATTTGAAAAATTTGCATTGTGCCCCTAAATTTTTCTACTTAAGAGCACCCCTTCCCCCAGAGCTGTAAACCTAGGGGAAACACTGGATATCTTTAAAACATTTGAGAAGTTAGTAAGAGTTCTCAGAACTAAAGGGAATGTAAATCTGAGTATCGTATAGCAGTGATACAAAATATAATATTTCCTCATGACAAAACCCAAGGGGAGCATATACAAACAGAATAAAATAGGACCCAAAAGGGATCCCTGAGGTACCCCATATATGAGTGGTGCGAAAGGAGAGGACGAGTTTCCAATCATCACCTATACTGATCTATCAGAGACATATATGAAGAGAACCAATCTAATGCCAATCTAATTGATCTGAATAATGACTCTATTGTCTTCTGTAGAGCTGCTTTACAGCTGAAACTGAATTTGCTTCATAACTGAAGAATTATGCAACATGAACACTGTTACTTTCCTGTTTGTTACTGTGAAGCTGCTTTGAAACAATCTGTATTGCATAAATCACTATAGAAATGATGGATGGGCGGTATATCGAGTTTGTACGCTATATCAATATTTTCTTTATAAGCGATACGATATGAGGCAATATGGTTTATATCGATATACAGTAGTTTGCTATACTGATCTATCAGAGACATATATGAAGAGAACCAATCTAATGCCAATCTAATTGATCTGAATAATGACTCTATTGTCTTCTGTAGAGCTGCTTTACAGCTGAAACTGAATTTGCTTCATAACTGAAGAATTATGCAACATGAACACTGTTACTTTCCTGTTTGTTACTGTGAAGCTGCTTTGAAACAATCTGTATTGCATAAATCACTATAGAAATGATGGATGGGCGGTATATCGAGTTTGTACGATATATCAATATTTTCTTTATAAGCGATATGATATGAGGCAATATGGTTTATATCGATATACAGTAGTTTGATACGAGCGCATCTGAAAATATAGCGGAGGACACAGACTGAGCTGCTGCGGAGAAAGTGCATAATCCAGTTTGTTCTAAACATGTGACAAGCTTCATATTAAGGCCTTTAAAAACTGGTAAGACATAGTTTATAGTTTTGCGTATTAGTTTAAGCGGCTCTGACTGAAAGGCTGCGTGTGCCGCTGACAGAGACACTATACTCGCGCTGTTTAATGTGTTTGAGATGTGCTGTTTCCTTTAATGCAGAACTTGCATTTCACAGGTATATTCTCCGTCTGTAAATGTTAGAAATCCATGGAAATATTTCAATTTTTCTGTCAGGAGTGCCTGAGCCTCTGCTTTGGGATTCTCCGCTAAACTCCACAGACTTCAGTGAACGAGCGCTAAACAGACGGAGCTCAATTAAATAGGAGCGCAATAATTCAGACTAAAATATACATTTCGCTGAAATATTTGTAGTTGGACAATAAATGAGACATGTAGAATTTTAAAACTGCAAGTAAGTCTATTTTTATGATAGCACTGACTGTAAAGGGACTGTAATGGGGTAATCAAAATAGCCTAACACAACTCTGTGCTTTTGGTCTCATTTATTTTCATTGTTAGTTTAGTGAATTTAACTTCCGCTTTAATCGCTTTATTTTTGTTTTTAGATTGCAATGTTACAATGTTAGAATGAAATGTGATTTTAACCCTTTTTTGCACATAACAAAGGCTTACATGGTTACATTCACTTTATTTGTTTTCATAGACTTTAATATGTATTGTTTTGTTGGACAACATTGGGCAGTAAGTGAAATATATATATATTAAATACAGATTTTTTAAAATACAAATACAAAAAGGAAAATACCGAGATATATACCGTATGTCGCAAATCGGCCAAATTTTTTTGCCCATATTGCCCAGCTCTGAAAAATAAATGTGACTTGGCTTAAATCTGCACATGAAGAGATCCTCTGATGTACTTGATCATCGTTTATGATGTGTTTACATGCAGCTGAGAGCAGATCATCAGAGACGGATGTGAACCTCAGACACGTACCTGTTAAAACACTCTGGACCACATCCTCAGACTTCACAGCAGGTTTGACGGACCCTGAAACACACACACACACACACACACACACACACACAGATGATGCCGTCCTGATTCTACACGTGAACGCAGCATTACAGCGCAGCCGCTGGACACGCGTCACGCACCTGAGGATGACGTCTGGTGACTGACCACGGAGGATTTGGGCGAGATGCTGTCGTGGTTCAGCCCGTTCTCTGCGGCGGGTTTAGGGTCAGTCTTGACCTCTGACACAGGATCTCCACCGCCACTGACCTGTAAATTTAATTGAATTTTCTATAAGAACATTTTCTAGTTATGTAAAATGTTTAATCCTGTTTAGCTAAACCATATCCAAGAATTTACTGTGAACCTTAAAGAACATTAAGCTGATGAAACTTCTTGAATTACAGAATGCCAATCTTTTCATTTTGGTTGTTTATATTGTTTTTTTAATTGTTTAAACATATTACCAGTCCTACTTTCTGTGCCGTAAAAAAGCTTTGCCATTACAACTGAAGTACCAGAAATGTCTGCATTTTTATGAGGAGCCTTTACATATTTAGAGGCACTAAATGAATTAAGAGACGCTCTGAGCATGTGCAGACTCAGAGAACACGCCTGTCGCCATAGAGACACAGACACGCCTGACAACAACACGCAACTCTCTCTCTCTCACACACACACACACACACACACACACACACACACACACACACACACACACACACACACACACACACAGACACACACACACACACAGACTAGAGAAACTAGTTCCCCACTTCACAAACACAAAGACTTGAACATCAAAAGGACAAACAGAGGTAGTTAACAGACCCTAATATTTAGAGGACTAGTCAATGCATGTCTTGAGTTAACAGCCGCTGTTAGTGATGTACTGCAAATCATAAACACAAGAGGATCATTCATCTTTGAAAGCAATTTTTTATTACACTTAAACTCCCCACATTTCTCCCAACTTAAAATCTCAATCAATTACAGTCTCTCTGGTTTGGTTGCATAGTTTAGTTTTCTTACATAGACCATCGTATGGCGCCCCTCTGGTGAAAACACGCTATTGCAGGATGTGACATCAAACAACTGCTTAACAACAAAACTATTTCTATGCAATGTTTGGTAACAGTTTATGTTGTTGCCTATGCTGCAGAGGCAGTCGAGCTGCTCAAACTAACTGATCAATGTTGTGAAAGCTTGTTTAGGGTCCGAGTTGCTGTGCAATAACAGCTGGACTCACTCACCTCTTCTCTGTCGGTCTCCTGCGCTCCCTCCTCTTGTGTCAGAGCCGCCAGCTGATTGGCTCTCTGCTCCATCAGACTGATGTACAGGATGGGATTGGACAGGGCCTCGATCACGTCTGACATGCAAACACAGCAGCATCAAAACACCAGAACACTGCTGTCTGCATAATGAGTCTTTTAGTAAAATCCTTAAGAAAATCAGGCTCTTTCTTTCGGAACATGCTTCGTCTGCTAAATGACTAAATATATGTACAAAAACTGAGGGAAAGCTACAGAAGTGTGGAAGTATAATGAAGCAGTGATTTATCACTGACTCTGACAGCCAAGTTCATATGACCCTCTTTTTTGGCTCCTGTACCTGCAAAGGTGTCTGGGACGTAGTCCTTGACCTCAGTGTAGATGAAGACGGACGGAAGCGTCAGCGTCTGGTTCTTCTCGTTCCTCAGACTGATGTAATGATATCCTGCGGCAGAGAGACGCACGCTTTAATGAGCGCGATCTGTCCTCGTGCACTTTCACACCCAGAGAATCAAGCGGATACTTGCCGGGTCGGATGGCACACACTGGGATGATGCGATGGCCGATAAACTTCCCGTTCTCTTCGTACACAGCTATCCTCAATGATGCCAGCGTGGGAAGAACCACCTGAAACATACGGCTCATCAGAATCAAAGCGTCTGAAGGAGAATCTGCCTGATGATGGCTCAGTGCTCGTCACTGCAGACGTACTCTTTTGAAGACCACTGGATCTTCATCCCACACCGGATTGACGGCATTGCTTTGAGACGTCTTGGTCTTAAACGCTTTCCGTTTGGTGTCCACCGGCAGGCCGAACATTTCCACCTCCACGTAAACACCGACTCTCTTATCGGACAGAAACTGGCCGGATATGATCTGAGAAAGACACAGAAATCTTATTCGACACTGCAGAGGCTCCCAGATATTCCAGGGTTTCTGCAGACTTGAACAAGTTAAATTTAAGACTTTTTAAGACCTTTTTAATACCACCTTATATGAAATTTAAGACCTAAACCTGTAATGGAAATACACATTTTATTACATACATATATGTAATATTTAATGTGTATAAATTAAAAAGAAAACAAAATATCAATGCTGTAATAAATGGTATTTATTACTACGATATACAGTGAACTTTTCATGTCAGCAGACAATATTCCATACAAAATATCCCC